AGGGCTTGTTTTCTCTACCGCAGCAAGACACGTACTTTGTTGCCCTCTTTGCGCTGGAGCTGAAGCAGCGCGCGCTTAATGTCGGCCTCTGATGACATTTCCCGCAATACGCACGAACAGATGCTAATGAAACAAGCCTTGTTTATTTGACGCAATTTCAAAAGGGCTCAAAACGAAGGTTCAATCCCGGCTGCATGTTTGGCAAAGGAACAGAAGATAGCCAGTTGCCGGCCAATCATCAGACGCCGCGCGCTCCGCCTTTTTTCATCGCTGCATTTGACGCGGCAATTGAGCGAATGCGGGTATCGTTTTACTTCTTGGCCGCTGCCGTCGCTGGTGCGCTTTCTCCGTTGAGCGAGACATAGCAAAAGAGCGCAATGAGGACAAAAACTGCGCAGCCAAGCGAGTTTGTCAGCGACATGAGCTGGTTGTCGGTGATCATCGTCAAAACGAAAAATGCGCTTTGGCAGACAGAAAGAAAGAGAGGGAAGCGAGAAAGAGAACGTGACGTTTCACATTTGCCTTTGGCTTTTCTTCTCCACTTTTCTTTTCCGTGCTGTACATTTTAAAACATCATATTTCCGAACCTTTTGTCGTACCTAGCCAAACCATGCCTAGCGCCGATGCCGATACCTCAGCTGCTGCCTCACGCCAGGCTGAGCAGGAGCCGCTGCTAGCTCAAGAGTCGCCCACAGAGCAGCACGGCCACGCTCTGCCCGCAAATGCAGATTGGATCTGGCGCAAGGCCACCCAGGCAGCTCGTATTACCACAACGCTTCTTTGCGTGTGTCTTGCTGTTGCCTGTCTGGCTATTGGGTTCTATATCATGTACATACTCTTCCACGTTCCGGCGCTGCTGGCCGTTCTCCAAGGAAGCGAGCCGCTGCTTGAATCCGCTTCTTTAATCGACATGAATGATGATGCCGTGCTTTTTGCAGCCGAGGTCCAGTTTCCCAGCTGGGGCCGTCGGGTAGCCAGCGTTCCATTTGTAAACGCAACTGTCTACCACCGCGGCCATACTGTCGGCTGGGTGTATGCTAGTAACCTGAAGGTAACGCCGCAGCAAAAACACCTTTCTCTCTGCGAAACATTCCATATTATTGATCCAGAAGCCATGGAAAGGCTGCTTATTGAAGCGGCATCGTCGCGGAGGGTTACAGTTAATGCCCGGACAAGCATTGCGCTTAGCGGCTTTGGCAAGTACCTGCCAGTAGCCAGCATAAACCACGAAATGGACGTTGCGCTGCCCGCGCCGCCTGCTGTCAACACAACCGTTTACGATGCTACTGGCCCCGTAGCTGACACACGCCGCGGCGGAATAACGGCACAGGCGAACGTAAAGCTCGAGCTACCCGCTCTTGTGTCGGCAAATATCAGCCCCGTGTGTCTAGAATTTAGCTACCGTGATGTCACTATTGCCGCAGCCGAGATTGGGCCAGTATCCGTCGACTCCAACGGCACAGGGGATGTCCCAGTAACGGTCAACATCAGACAGATTGCAACTCGAGCCCACGAGGCAGCACTGGCGGACATGGCCATAATGGCCAGCTCGGGAGAAGGTTTTGAGCTGGTAGCATCAGGGGCCGATCCGTCGCGCTACGACACGGCTCCTCGGTGGCTTCGCCGGGCGCTGAGTAACATTACGATTCCAATTCAATCCGACATGCTGCAGCTGTCTCGCGACACTCCGCTGCAAGTTGCAGACATTGTTAAAGAGGTTGTCGTTGACAAACTGTATGCGTACTGGAGCGCCCAAGACAGCTTCGAGCCGTGGGCCGGCGTCTCGGCCCAGGCGCTGATCGACATTCCGAACCCATCGGCTGCAAACATCATATTCGAGATTGAATCGCTCGTGCCTAGGCTGCAGTTTATTGATAAAGAGCAGCGCCCGTTTGCGACTGCAGACATTCCGACGACTCCGATTCAGCTGAGGCAGACTGCAGCGTCGCAGTTTGTGGTGTCTTGCGACTATGATCGCCTCGGTCTTCGCGTGGTTCCTGGCAGAGAGCTGCAGTTTACGCATGCGATTAAGCGAGCGTTGTCGGACCGCCACATAGCCCTTGGTGTGGCTGGAACGCTGGACATTGTTTTGAACACGTCCATTGGCAGAATTCGCATTGGCGCTCTGCCGGTTAGCACAGATATCGATTGGAAGTTTGACTCCGCCAACGCAACCGAGGATAGGAGCTTGATCTTTGCAGGCAGCAGCGATGAGCTGTACGCTGGCAAGCCGGCTGTAATCTCGGTATCTCGGATTCACATTGTCGACACTACACGCGACCGGATTATGCTGGAAATTGACGTTCGTGTGGACAATCCGTTTGCCTATGGTGCGTTTATAACCGACATGGCGTTAATGGTAAAGTACTCGGGTCTCCACATTGCAACTGTTGGCGTAAAGGGGCTGTCTCTCTCGCAGGGAACAAATGATGTAACCATGTACGTCGACTTTAACAACTACCCCAATGACTCGCGACAAAGGATGCTGTTTCTGGAAGCGTCATCTGGCGGGAACGTCACGCTTGAAATTGCCGGATTTCCAAACTGCACAAGCATATCTCCGCTCGAAGAATCGCTTCGGAACTTTGCGCAAACGATTACTATTGACACATCCAAGCTCGGAAATCACAATCATGGGCATGGCGCAATAACTGGAAGCTTCCCCAAGGTACTTCGCGAGGTGGTGTTTCATATCTTTGCCATGTCTGCCGAGGCAACCGTTGTGAACCCAGTGTCGGGCGTAGAAATCTGGCTCCAGGCAATTGAGGCGATTGGCTACTACAAGGATGACATCCCACTCGGCACACTTGAGTACGACTTTACTGCCAGACAACCCGGCAACCAACATCAGATGCGGTCCAACGGCTTGCTGCTGCCATACAAGCAGTCAATTACAACGCCACGGCTGCCGATAGCTGCAAACGAAACATCTATTGGATGGGATGTCCTCCGCAGGGCCATTGGTGGTACCCTCGATGTTGATGTGTTAACTAACATCCAGATGCAAATTGGCAACGCTCCGCTGAACTTTACCATCATGGGACGGAATGCACCAGTCAAAGTGCGGCTGTGAAGGCAACGACAAAATGCAAGCAGAGTTTTTCAGTAGCCCAATGCAATAAAAAAACAGTTTAAAAAGGCGATAATATTTCTTAACCAAAAAAAAGCATCTGACTTGAAGAACCTGTGGTATTATTCAGACATTTAAGAACGACCGCTGTGCACAGGTAGCATGAGAGATCCATCTCTCGCATAAAATGTACAAGGCGCCATCAATCCCTTCATTTTTGTATTGAAACCATTAAATATATAACCTGTCAAATATGCCTCCCTGAAAACGTTGTTTACGGCGTGTTAGATTGGAATTCTTTCTGGCTGTCGCGATAGTGTAGTTGGTCTTATCACGTTTGCTTTACACGCAAAAGGTCTCCAGTTCGAGCCTGGATCGTGACATGCTTTTTTTTTTTTGCAGTTTACGCAATTGTTTTGGTAATAATTTTTTTTTGTTGCAATACCATTACAATGTCGCGCGTTCCATGACTGAAAGCTTTTTTGTATAGCGTGAAATAGAAATGCGCATTCGCAAAAAGTTGTGAAAATGGTTGAGCGGCTCCAATTATTGTTGAATTGTATGCCAAAAGCAATAGCTATAAATCAAATGTGTATTTTTGTTTTATAGTAGCAATGCCATAACGGCTTTCTTATAAACCTTCAAGGAATTTCTTTATCTCTTGACATATTAAGCTAATGTTAATTAATCAGTGGATTTACTTGTTGAGTGCTTATAAGACAGTTGTCATCTTTCATACAAAGAACAACTGCCCCCTTTGTCAGTAATTCTTTGATAATAAGGAAAAGTCAGACAAAAAGCTGCTGCATTTCTTAGCTTTCTTTATTTTTTTTACACTATTATTGAAGATGTCAGTTAGCATATTGACTGATGATGTTATTATAGGTATTTTATATTATGTCCGCATCTGCCTGGATTGTGAATATGATGCATTCAAAAAGAATTTGGTGCTGCTGTCAGTT